AACTCTTGACTTTGGTTCAGGTCATATTCTCACAATTTGTGAGACTGAGCCCCATGTGCTGATAGTACAGAGCCTGCTTGGGATTCTCTCTCTCATCTCTCTGGTCCCCCTCCAAATAAATAAATACACTTAAAAAAAATGTTCTTACCAGTTAATCCAGAATAATGGATACATATATGCAAAAATTTAGTTGTATATTTATTATGGGAAGTATAATATGGTTTATAAGATAAACCTGACAGATGATAGTTACATTTGAGGTGAGCACAGCATAATGTATAAACTTGTGGAATCACTATAATCACTATGTTGTACCCCTGAAACTAAAGTAGCATTGTGTGTCAAATATTCTCAAGAAAAAAAAAAAAAGAGTAAACTATCCAACAGCAATGGAAATGGCCAGAAAGTTATTGTTTATCCATAAAGAACACTACGAGGCCATTTATAATGTTAAAAAATGACCTAAAAGGTTATACATTAAAATGTAAAAAATGGTTGGGGTGCTTGGGTGGCTCAGTCGGTGGCATCTAACTCGGTTTCAGTCAGGTAATGATTTCAGTTTTGTGAGTTCGAGCCCTATACCCGGCCCTGCAGCTGGTAGCCCGAAGCCCACTTGGCATTCTCTCTCTGCCCCTCCCTGACTCACACTATCTTTGTCTCTCTCAAAATAAATAAATAAACTTAAAAAAAAAGTGTAAAAAATTATTATCTTTGGGGTAGGGTTGTAATACATTTTTTCTTTATCTGTATTCTCTAACTTTCCTACAATGAACATGGAATGCTTGTGAAATCATAAAAAAAAAAAAATCAAGATATTTTTCCAAGTAACATATAACTAATGAGTACATAAGAGGGCTAAAGGCCTTAGAGAAATATCTAAACCTAATACAAATAAATAAATATCCTACCGAAAAAAGCTGAGAGTAGTGAAAAATGTCAAGAACATCAAAATTGTTTTGTGTTTCAGTTACATCTAAAGCACAAAGAACTGGGGGGAGGGTGGGGGGGGCATGGAGGGTGTGGAATAAAGCACACAAAACCAAAAGAAGGGATAGACTCATTATTTTGGGTGCTAGGCAAATTGGTCACCAATGTCATGTTATAGGCTAAGAGAACAAGAAGGATTATTTTTATTTTTCTTCATTCTTAACTCAAACACAATTATATGTAGAATGAAAAGAGTAGAACTGAATCCCAAGATAGTGAGGGGTGGGTAACAGGGCCCTTCTATCCATCTGAATGTGTTTAAGTCACATGGCCCAAGTGACTGCTCCCCAACATACCAGAGATTTTCCAGGTGACATGACTGTACTGCTGCTGGTAATGTGAGAAACCCTGGCATACATGAATGGTGCTGAAAGTCTGAGAGTAGGCAAATACTGTTTTGACTTTCAAAGTGGAGAGAAAGGTAGATTCCACAAACTATGCCAGTGAACTTGACATCTATTCCAGGCAAAGTTCTGGCTGGATTTATTAAATCCATTCAAAAAGAGAAGCTCAATCACGAAGTATCAAATCATTACAGACTAATACTCTTATTGGCTTCTGGGTATATGTATTTCAATAAGGCATCTAGGAAATAGATCAGTTGAGCATTATGGACAGAATAGTACTGTTTAATAGGTTGAAGTAAATGTATAGCGGAGTATCTAGCAATGGCCTGAGGGCTTGGTCTTTAGTTTGAATTTGCTCAACATTAAAAAAACACGTTTTTTTAACTGTTTATTTTTGAGATAGAGAGCGAGCACGAGCAGGGGAAGGGCAGAAAGGAAGACACAGAATCTGAAGCAGGCTCCAGGCTCTGAGCTGTCAGAGCAGAGCCTGACGGCAGAGCTGGAACTCACAAGCAGTGAGATCATGACCTGAGCCAAAGTCGGACACTTAGCTGACTGAGCCACCCAGGTGCCCCTGATGTGTTCAACATTTTATAAATGACTTGGATGAGAACAGAATACAGATGTGCATGTTTATCAAACCTATAGCTGACACAAAGCTAAGAGGGATAGATAATACAAAGAATGACCAAATCAGGATCTAAAAAGGTCTTGACAGGCTAGAACTGAATGTCAAATTTAACAAGATGAAATTTAACAAGGGTAAAAGTAAGTCTGACACTTAAGTCCAGAAAATCAATACAAGTACGAGACAGGGAAGCTTGACATGATAGCAATTCAAGTGGATAACATCTAGGGTTTTTACATGACTAAAATCACAGTTTAGGTCCAAAGCTAGAAAGTTAGAAGGGAGCAGGGTTTAGCTTCATCAATATTATTTTCCTTTCAGCTCAATATAAACTGTATGTAACAGGCTGATTCAGGAGGTAAGTATGTCCTTCCTACCCAAGCCGAAGTTACATAATTCTCACAGATGCTGAATAAATGGTACTGGAATTCAGTGGAAGGTTTAGCAGAAGAAATGATCTGAGATAGTAAAAGATTCTACAAATCTACTTAAATATAAGTAGATGTAATTACAATTTACAAAGTGAAAATGATTTCATTTCAATTGATTTAAAGTTAACTCTGCTGAATGGGAAGCTCAAATTTAGGCTTTTTTTTTTTTAATTATTATTAGTCCAACTAATATCCTCTCAATTGGGATCTCAACAGGGCACTATCTGGGGTCATTTTTTCTGTTAAACTTTCCACTGAATTCCAGTACCATCTCTTCAGCATCCACAAGAATTATTTTTCCTCTATTAGTCCAAAGACTCTTAAAAAGAATGACAACAGTACTTTCTCACTTCACATAACTAAATAAATACTAAAAATACTTTAAAATTGTTATTATGGAATATATGCTCTTTATAAACAAAATTAAAACTTTTTGATGAAGATAAAATGAAAAATAATGGTTCCTCTTCTGCTTTCTGCCCCCAAATACTCCCTAAACTCGATTGGACTTCCCTAACTTCTAAAGGTCTCCTTCTCCAACTCCCTGAGGACTTAGTCTTTATACCATGACCGCTTTTTATCATACACCATTTATTTTCTTCCTCCAAAAGATTAGAAACTCCTAAAGATAAGTCTTTTACTTCTGTATAGCTCATTTACCAAATACAGGCGTTCCACAGAAAAACATTTACTAAACTTTCTGACACTTCTTAAATAAGAAATAACAATATTCTTTAGATACTAAGTCTTTCACTTCATTTAAGTGGATATTGGTTGGTTTTACCAATCTAGCATTCACTACCTAACCTACCTATCTAGCTCATCATTGATTTATAAAGATCCATCCAATTGTGCTGGTAAAAGAATGAGATCTGCTAATCAGAGCATGGCAATCCCATAGACATGATTCAATCTAGACAATGAGATGCCATCAACTTGAAGTTGGACAGATATAAAGGACCCTAGATAGTGCAGCCATCTTGGGACCAACAGAGTGGATCTATCCAAGTGTGAATCCAACACCCAAAAGATCAAATCTGTGAGTTTGATAGTAACATAATTTAGCACACCTATTGAGTGTTATAGTCACTCTATTCTTGACTTCAGAATTGTTTGACTTCAAAGCCTTCTCCTCCAGGAGGCATACTACCTTGACTCCCTAGGTGTTTACCCTTAAGCTCAAGGAACTCTTCCTCGGGTGTGACAGGTGGAACTCATGAAGAACAACAAAAAATAATAAAAAACAGAAGTGTAAAAAGAAACAGATAAATATGCAAGCTAACTATGAGTGATGAATTATGGACTTGCAAATGGTAACAACATGAAATGCCAGGAGAATGAAAAAATGGCAGTTCAGGTGTACATGTTGGTAGAAGAGAAAAAAAGGCTTTACCAGAGAGGGGTGTCTGGGATGATTCCTGCATTATGCGTTCACAGCAAACCTCTTGTGCCACTGATTCTCGCCCAATGGCCACAGTGGCCAGCTTTTAGTTGTTAAAAATTAAAGTTCTTTCCTGTCTCAAAGCAATTGTCACTTTCTGGATGGTCTTTCCCCAAATCCTCTCATGACTGGCTCTTTTCTAATTTTTTTTTTTTAAGACAGAGAGAGGGAGGGGATGAGAGAGAATCTTAAGCAGGCTCCTCTTTTAGAGGGAAGCCCAAGGAGGGCTCAATCCTGACCCTCGATCACCACCTGAGCTGAAATCTTGAGTCAAGATGCTCAAAGGACTGAGCCACCCCATGAGCACCTCTTTTCTCACACTTTTGATCTCTGTTCAAATGCTACCTCTGCAGGTATTCCTTTTCAGTCCAACCAACCTAAACTGGACCTTTCTTTCCATCACCTCTTATTTCCTTCAAAGCTCTTATCATCAACTATATTTACTTAAAATGTTTAGTTGTTCCACTCTTTTCACCAAAGGAATATAAGTTTCCTGAAAGCAATATTTCCGGTCTTGAACACCTCCATTTCTTTAGACCCAAATTCTGGCAGAGAGCGGCCTAATATTTTAATAAATATTAATTAAAATAAATTAATATTTACTGAAGAGAATGAATGGCAGAAAGTGAGAAGATAACTTGGGGAGAAAAATCGGCGTTGTAGTCAGGGTTCCTGGGGAAGGCGATAGGAAGAGGGCAGGAAAAGCCAGCTGGGTTGGAGACTTCACAGGGAGTTGAAGGTTTACGTCGGTGAGACTGGAGGGTGTCGGATCAAGGCTTCAGGCTTCCCGGATCACGCGTGGGGTGGGCGGCTGGGTGGGCAAAGGGGCACATACCACTTAGTGCCCAACTCCTGGGCATTCCCTTTGCGGAAACCAAACGCTAGGCTCTCTTCAGAACAGCACCTATCCCACCTCGCAGCCTAGGTCCCGCCCCGGGGACCTTACGCAGCCGTCTTCCACGCAATCACTAGCCCGTGGACACCAAACTTATCGCCTGGGCCGAGCCCCCGCGGAGCAGCAACAAGTGAGAGAGACGACCACCCTCCGCCTGTCCACACTGAGGATCCGATACCTGCCCGCCATCCCGGCCCCTGCTCACTCACCGGCTGACGCGTTTCTCCCCGCCCCCAGCCCGCCCCGCGGCCCTACTCGGGCCCTCACTTACGCTTGTCTCCGAGCTATGAGCCGATGCATGGGAGTCGCCATCTTAGCGCGGCTGCGGACTGCCGCGCTGGGTTTTGGGAAGCTCCTCGGAAGGGGCGGGCCCTTCGAACCCCCAGCGGCCGCCTGCGTGGGCGGAGCCAGTCCGGCCTCGCGGGCCTTCGTGGCCGCCTTTGGGGTAAGCAGTGGGTGGGTAGGTGTGTGTCTTGTTTCCTGTGTAGGTCTCTAGTTTAAGAAAGAAGGATGATGCCGGTTGTCTTGCATGAACAGGCCCTTGAAGAATGAGTACAGGTATATTGCGTGGAGAGGCCGGGAGAAACATTCTCAAATAAGGGAAATATATATTATAATATATATTATACACACACACACATAAATACATGAATAAAAGTGTGCAGTGTTCAGAAACGAGTCTGGAGAGCAAAATAAAAGGAATGGGCTTAAAAAAAATAAAAAGTAATGACTTGAGCAACATTGGAACCATAAATTGAAAGACCGACTATAGTGCAAATATATGTTAATTCTATCTTTACTCTTTCACAGGGATTTTATTAGGACCAAATGAGATTATGTAACTAAAGCTACTTTGTCCACTGGAAAAAGATACTAATATATTTAAAATTTTTTTTAACACTTATTTATTTTTGAGAGAGAGACAGAGAGACTGAGCACAAGCCAGGGAGGGGCAGAGAGAGAGGGAGACACAGAATCTGAAGCAAGCTCCAAGGCTCTGAGGTGTCAGCACAGAACTAACCTAATGCCTCACTCCAACCCGCAAACGGTGTGATCATGATCTGAGCCAAAGTCCAATGCTTAACCAACTGAGCCACTCAGGTGCTGTAGAAAAAGATACTAAATTTAATTATTTTAGCATTTAGTGTCCGATCATAGAAATTTTATTCCCTTAAATCTACATTCTTTGAAACATATAACTTTTTGAGCTGTGTATGTATGCACATTTCTGGGTGTTCATTCATTTTTTTCAATTAATATTTATAAAGCACCTAAAATGTTTTCAAAACTGAGGATAGAGCCTTAGACAGGTAAAGTCTTTGCACACATGGAGCTTTCTACAAACAATAAGCCAAGGCAATGTCCAAAGAGCATAAATACTCTAAAGAATTCAGGGTAAGGGGATAAAGAGTGATTTAGCACTGAGAGAGAAGGTGATAGATACCCTTAACCTTTGAGCACATCTTGTTCTTGACAAAGTGGAATCTTACTATCTGTTCTGTTCTTCAGCTTGCTTTGTTCAATTCTCAGTAGACTTCTGGATGTCTTTTCCCATGTCAGTACATACAGATTTAATTTATTCTTTTTCTATGTTAAGTTATATGGATTACATGGACATTCTACAATTTATCCAACCAGTACCCTATTGATATACAATTAGATCTTTTGTCAAAAAGATGGGATGAACAGATTTTCAGGCACTCTTCTATTTCTGTAATCTGATCTTCTAGAATCACTGGGTCAAAGAGTATGTGTATTTTAAATTTTGATTGGTATTACCTATTGTCTTTTAAATAGGTTTTACCCAAACATATTTCCTCACTAGAACTGAGAATGATCAAACTTTTTTTTTGTTGTTGTTAAATGTTTATTTATTTTTGAGAGAGTGAGTGTGAGTGGGGGGGAGAGGCAGAGAGACAGAATCTAAAACAGGCTCCAGACTCTGAGCTGTCAGCACAGAGCCTGATGTGGGGCTCAAAGTAGGCAACAGCAACATCCTGACATACTCCGAAGGTGGAAGCTTAACCGACTGAGCCACCCAGGAGCCCTGAATGGTCAAACTTTTAAACTCTTTCCTACCTATCATTATTGATGAGATTAAGTACCTTTCATATGATTATTGGAGACTTATTTTTCATGAATTGTCAATCAGATTCTTTGCTTGTTTTTCATTTTCTATTTTTTCTTTTTTCTTTTTTTTTTTTTTTTTTAAGTTTATTTGTTTTGAGAGACAGAGAAACAAAGCACGCAAGCAGGGAAGGGGCAGAGAGAAAGGGAAAGAGAGAGAATCCCAAGCAGGTCCCGCACTGTCAGCGCAGAGCCCAATTCAGGGCTAGACCCCATGAAACACGAGATCATGACCTGAGCTGAAACCAAGAGTCAACGCTTAACTGACTAAGCTACCCAGGTGCCCCTCTTTGCTTATTTTTCTATTAGATATTGATCTTTTTAATATGGATTTGTAGAAACTTTTAATATTTTATGTAAAGACACTTCATTTTATGTTTTACAAATACTTTTATTATTTTGTTTATAGTCTTTAAACTTTGTGATCTTTTACCATGTACTGAGACATTAAATTGTTAAATAGGCGTTTTTAACAATCTTTTCCTTATGGGTTCCTGGGTTTGACTAACACTTAGAATGGCCTTATATGTCCCAAAATTATTAAAATGTGTGCTGTGAGTCACCTGGCTGGCTTAGTTGGTAGGGCATGTGAGTCTTGATCTTGGGGTTGTCAGAGTCCCACATTGGGGTATAGAAAATGCTTAAAAGAATAAAAAATAAAATATTTTATTGTAATTCTTTAATTACATTTATGGTTATATCCTTATTCCTCATTTATAGTGGGGTGCCTGGGTGTCTCAGTCGGTTAAGTGTCCAACTGTTAATTTTGGTTTAGGTTATGGTCTCACTGTCATGGGATGGAGCCCTGTATGGGGCTCTGTACTGAGAGTGGAGCCTGCTTGGTATTCTCTCTCTTCCTCTCTCTCTGCTCCTCCCCCTCTCTTTCTCTGTCTCAAGTAAAAAATTTTTTTATTAAAAATAAATTTTGTTAATCTTTATTTAAAGAGACAGAGAGACAGACTGTAAGCATGGAAGGGGCAAAGAGAGGGGGAGACACAGAATCCAAAGCAGGCTCCAGGCTCTGAGCTATCAGCACAGAGCCTGACACGGGGCTTGAACCTACGACCTGTGAGATCACGCCCTGAACCAATGTCGGATGCTCAACCGACTGAGTCACCCAGGCGCCCCTCAAATAAACACTTTTTTATCCTCATTTTTAGTTTTTGAGATACCATTTACTAAATCTATCACTTATTGATTTGAAAAACTACTTCTCATATACTAAATAGGTATAAGTTGAGTTTGTTTGAGCATTCTGTTTTCTTCTCAAGATCTATCTGTGCCAGGATGTGTCATTGTTTTAATTTCCATGGTTCAGTAAGATATTTTGATATCTGATAAGGTAGTCCCTCCTAATTAATCTTTCTTTGTCCCCACTTTTCTTCATTGTTCCTAGGGATTTATTTCCCTAGAAAGGTTTTATTCTCAAATTTTCAAGTTTCCCACCAAATAAGATTCATCTGTCAGCTGATTTTAATTTTTTTTTTCCAACGTTTATTTATTTTTGGGACAGAGAGAGACAGAGCATGAACGGGGGAGGGGCAGAGAGAGAGGGAGACACAGAATCGGAAACAGGCTCCAGGCTCTGAGCCATCAGCCCAGAGCCCAACGCGGGGCTGGAACTCCCGGACCGCGAGATCGTGACCTGGCTGAAGTCGGACGCTTAACCGACTGCGCCACCCAGGCGCCCCTGTCAGCTGATTTTAAAAGAAACTTCATTGTAGCAAATGTGAAAAGACAAGAGACAGAATAAGATGTAACAAAAGGAGAACTATTTTAAAAACAGTTATTTATTTGAAAGAGAGAGAGAGAGAGAGGGAGAATCCTGAACAAGCTCAGCATTGTGAACATAAGCCTGATGCGAGGCTCCTTCCCACTGTGAGATCATGACCTGAGCCAAAGTCAAGAGTAGGACACTTAACTGAGTGAGTTACCCAGGTGTGCTGCAAATGGCATTATTTGTGATGATTTGGTTGCACATTGGGAAAGCCCAAGAATTAATTACAAGCCTCTTGAGGTGGGGTGCCTGGGTGGCTCAGTCGGGTAAGCGTCCAACTCTTGATTTCAGCTCAGGTCATAATCTCACACTTTGTGGGTTCCAGCCCCATGTCGGGCTCTGCACTAACAGTACAGAGCATGCTCGGGATTCGCTCTCTCTCCCTCTCTCTGCACCTACCCTGTTAGCTCTCTCTCTCAAAATAAATGAGAATAAACTTAAGAAAAAAAGGCGTCTTGAGAGTTCAACATAGGGGTCACATACATCACACACACAAAATACAATAATAACTTGCTTTTTCAGTGGCAAGAGAAAGCCAGTGTAGTTGTTTCCCATTGAGGCTCATGGGCTTGAGGGATCCTCATCTTTGTTCAGAGAATTTAGGCTACAATTCAGATGCTGAGCTTTGTAAACCTTAATGGATACCAGCTGAAGGAATTAAAAACTTGTGAAAGCTGCAAGTAATTTCTATCTGGCAAGAATGAATATTTTACTATTCTTGAGGCAGACTATTCCTTTATTCTAGGAAAGCCTCCCCAAGTGTCTTCCAGTTATATAAGATGTCTCAAAGAACTGGGGGAGGGATGGATGTAAAAGGGATGTGTTGGAGGGAAAGTTGCATCTCTCTGGCCTGGGTTGCTTTGGGGCAGGATGGTTGTTCCCTGCTCTGACCCTGACCTGTCAGTGAGCACCTGTGATTGGAGAGCTGACCAGCAGAATAGGGCCTGCTTCATGGGCAAATGGTACACATTTCAGGGTCCCGTGCTTAGAAAAATCCCACATTTGGTTTAATGCTCTGCTACTGCCATCTTAAAATTCATAATAGCTTTTGATCAGGGAGCCCCGCATTTTAAATTTGCACTGGGCCCTGCACATTATGTAACTGGTCTGCACCAGAAGTTGCTCAAAGTGTTTTCACTTTGAGTGAAATGCAAACTATCCCCACTAGGATCTGAAGAGGGGAGAAAACTGACCCTACCCTTCCTGGAATTTAGAATCGGTCTTTTTTTTTTTTTTTTTTTAAATTTTTTAATGTTGGCTTTATTTATTTATTTTTTAACATTTTTTTTTCAACGTTTATTTATTTTTGGGACAGAGAGAGACAGAGCATGAACGGGGGAGGGGCAGAGAGAGAGGGAGACACAGAATCGGAAGCAGGCTCCAGGCTCTGAGCCATCAGCCCAGAGCCCGACGCGGGGCTCAAACTCACGGACCGTAAGATCGTGACCTGAGCTGAAGTCGGACGCTCAACCGACTGAGCCACCCAGGCGCCCCTAGAATCGGTCTTTTCCTTAAAGATTGGTGGCTATTGTTTAAAAAAAAACTTTTTTTTTTAATCCTTT